AGACCTTTTCACACGTGTGAAGTCAACAGAAGTTATTCCTTAGCAACTTCAGCAAAACAAGTTAGTCTGACTTAAGTGAAAAGTTGTGTTTACTCAAAAGAATTTAGGAAACTGATTGCCTTAGATCAGTGGTTCCCAACCTTTTTCAACTCATGGCCCACTTGAAAATCTCAAAAATGTTCCGACATCTGACCCTGTAACAATACGGAGGCCAAATAATGCTACCACATTCTCAGAGCACTTTTTATTTTAATAATAATGATCAAACATTTAGGATTAAATTGAAAGCAGGGGAAACTGAATTTTTTGTTTGATGGTGGACAGATCACTTGTCGATCTGTTTCTTGAATGTCCCTTTAATTCTTCTTGTTGCTGGCAACAACATAAAACTTCCTATCATTGACCATAGGCCCTGGTCATGACTATATCAAATTAGCATTTGATAATTAGGTCAATGAATTTTGGCAAAGCTCTCACCATGCATTACAGACTCCCTTGTAAATGGCATGGTGGTTTTAGCTAGCTTACTACTAGCTAACCTTAGCATTAGCCTGCCAGTTTTTAGTTTTAGTTTTAGTTATCACTATACACAGAAAAATGGCCTGCAAAAATTCAGTTTTGAATAAGGACATTGACAAATGTAAACACACTGATGTAGAATTACTATTTGTTTTATACCTCCTTCAGGCAAAAGGAGTACATTCCTCACATTACATGAGTTGCATCAGTGAGAAATGAGTAACCTACATTAATGTAATTTAAGGAAGCGAAGGTATTATCTATAGCTGTTTTCAGGAAGTCTATTTTAAAAGACAAACACAACTCTTAAAGCAAATGCATTATTGGTCCTTTTTCTTCATTTGGACTCTTGGGAGGATGATGTCATTAACTATGTGTGATTTATCAGTGATATTAAAGTAAAATAAACCCCCTGTGGTTTGAAATAATGTAAACCTGTAACTAACATCAGAAGCAGCTGATGGAAGTTCCTGTGTATAAACTGTGAAGTGCCTTCGGAAGACACAAGGTCAGAGGACGCCTGCTGTCTGCTGCTTCTTAAATCAGAATCCCTGCATGGAAGGAAACGCTCTAAATAATAATGTGTCTGTGTGTGTGTGTCCTGCATCTATTGCAGTATAATTGGCAGTAAATTGACCTTGATTTAGAATACTGGCAGCCAGGCTCTGTTTACTCAACTAACAGAGGTCGGTCATACACACACACACACACACACACACACATACACACACACATACACACACACACGGATCAACACAGCTTACAGTTAAATCAGCTGCCTGTCGAGCTGACCAGATGTCATGGTGGGAGGGTCACATTGAAATGTCATATCATTGAAGAGATGTTTTATGAACAAATCCTTTTGCTTGTGGTTCACTTGTGTCACTGACTGTTTTTTTTCATTTGCTATCATCACATGAGAAATTCCCTTTTGTATAAAACATGTTTAAATCAAAAAAGGCAAACAGGTGCATTCTAACACATACTTTATTTCAATATGTTCATATGAAATCCTCCCTCTTTTTATCCCTGTGAAAGAATCACAGAATCATCATACAGCATCTGGTTGAATATATAAAATTCTCTCCAACAAAACAACCTCATAGATGTGTCAGTGGCTCAGGTAACTCATAAATATGACCCCAGTTAGGTACTGAACTGTCTGCTAAAGTCACTCTGGATGGAAATCTTAGATAAACATCCAGGATGTGAATTGTATCAGCTGAGCTGGGCAAGGATCAGTAATGTGATGCTTGGGTGTCTGCAGGCTGATAACATCATGCACCAGTGACAGTGTGAACAATGAAAGAAGGGAGGAAATGGTGAGAGGGCAAGAATGTGAACAAGAAAATTGGAAAGATGAGGTTAGAAATACAAACTAACTATACGCTGCCTTTGTCTGACTCTGGGTCAGCCTGATGACTGGAGTTAGACAGATTAAATTAAAATGAATGGCTGCATGATGCACCAGTCTGCTACTGTGTCACATGGAGTTTAAATGGTTGAACAGTGAACAAACAACTCAAATCTGTTGGTCAGCATGGTATCGTGTCTCTAAGACACTATCAAGCACTTTGCAAGAACAAATATCTTTTCCCACAAGGTGAATATTGTGTTTTAAGACCCAGACTCTCAGCCAGCATCAGTCACTGCACCATAAACCCATTGTGATGTCTCAGACCTTCCGACAGCGTCACTGAGCCAGGGACACTTTTATGGGAAACTATTCAGTCTGTCTGCATTAGTATGCTGACAGAGCAACCGACTGAAGACACAGGGGAGTTGGACGGAGAGAAATTAGTTGGATAGATCGAGTGAAAGAGGGAGGTGAAATAGAGTGAGATAAAGACTTTAGGGCATGACGAAATGATGTGAGTTTTGTGGGTGTTTTTATGTACATGAATGAAAAAGATGAATCCCTGTTATCAGTGTCATTGCTCATTTCTGTCCTGTCACAGTGGACTCCTCCTGTCCACACTGTCTGTCTGACCCTGTCTCATCTCTGTGTCTGTTTTGGACTCGTCCTTGTCTCTTTCAGTCAGACAGGATGAGGTCAGAGTTGGCAGTGAAGCACTGTGTCTGTAACTAGGACACTGGCCTCAGAGTGACAGTAAAGGCAAGCAGCAGATTAACATATCACTACTGGACATCACCTCCACCATTTCTACACGACCTTAGCAGTTTTCAAATTTTTCCTTTACATTGAATTTTTTTATGCCTCTGTGCCGGTGACAGTCAATGCCAGCATGATCTGGTTTTTAAGTTGTCTGTTCATCTGTCCCATTTTCGTGGACGCAGTATCTCAGTAACGCTGTGACAGAACATTTGGCACATACATTCACTTAGACTCAAGGACAAACCGATTACACTGAGTCCCAGTGGACATATGTGCCATACGTGAAGGGATTCCTTTGAAGAGTTCTCGAGATATTGTGTTCACAAGGCCAATATCATGTTTTGTGAGGTCCCCATGACCTTAACCTTTGACCTTTTACCATGAGTTCATCCTTGAATCCAAGTGAATTTTTGTGTCAAATTTGAAGAAGTTTTCAAGGCGTTACTGAGATATCGTGTTGATGAGAATGGGATGTGGGAGGGTGTCGTGTATCGAGCGATCAGCTGGGCAGACTTCTGAACACCGCCACAGGCTTGACTGAGGTTTTCTCATCTGAACCTACAACACCTTTCCCTGCCCTCTATACCTCCATCGATGGCCTGGGAGAGAGCAAACCGGTGACCACTGCGCGACCATCCGTGCCTCTCTGTAGCACGTCCGGTCAGGCTCTAAAACAACTCTGCCACAAGGTGGGTTTAGATGGTGACATGACCAAGTTCTCAGGAAGCTGGTTGAAGTGGTGGTGTAAACAAAGAGAGTCCAGTGGGGAGCCAACAGAGCATCCACTTTCTAAGGCAGGGGGGGAGCCTGCAACCAATACCAACAGGAGACCAGCACCGAAGCTCCTGACATCAGGGTCGGAGTGGAGGACGGAGGTGGACCTGGACAGACAGCTCCATCTCCCAGGGGAAATCTGCAACCCTACAGCTTACAGATTCTCCAAGTTGGAGACTCAGCAATGCGTCTACTCAGGGACCTGGGGCTATGGGGAGCTAGCTAAGCGTGGGGACCGAGCATCTCCTGCAGAAGGTTAGCTGCAGGGGGTGTAAGGGATGGCTGATGACCCCGCACCTAACAAAAGGGAAGGTGAACAGACCTACAACCCCGCAGGAAGAAGACCTTACCTGTACAAATTAAATGTGGGTGTACAGTAAAAGTCCCACAATGCCGTGTTTTCAGTGGAGGCTCATTAATCACTTAAAGTAAACACACCCTAACGTGTGCAGTCTCACACGCATCAGCGAGCAGAGGGACAGAGGAGAGTCCCAGCCTCCTGTGTGAAACTGTACTTACACTGCAGCCCCTGCGGGACAATGCACAGTTATACATTCTGCCTGTGTACAGCGATTCTCTATTCATCGTGTCTTTAATCAAAATCACATATTGACAGGACTTAGAGGAGTGAAGGGTTGAAGAGAGGAGACTCTGTAGTTTTCCACAGACCTCTGTCCACCTTATAGGTTCAGCCTAGAGTTCATGTCATTGAGTTTTAGTTGAGTCGATGTCTTCCCTCAGTGGTCAGTGGAGCAGGACTGGGCAGTTCATGTGGAGCAGCTCAGTAATCATGAGGCCACTGAAGCTGACTCAGCTGTTTACATGTTGGACCTCTCTGATCTCTTTGCCTTGTGTCCTGTCTCTCTTATAGAGCTGCGTCTTCATGGACAAACCCCTTCTACATTTTACACATACAAGCTGAGAAGACATGAGTGTCACTGCATATATATTGCTGATAGAGATAGGTAGAAGAACGAGCCAGAGCTGTTATGAGTTAAAACCAGGGGTGGACAGTAACAAAGTGCATTTACTTGAGTACTGTACTGAAGTATATTTTGTACTTTACTTGAGTATTTTAGAAACTTATGATTTACTCTTACTTTGAAAAAGAGCTTTTAGTCAGTGAATTTATTTTATTTTATTTTGAAAATGTGATAGATCATACACTGTATTCATCACAGGAGAAAAACCAATCACAGCCAACTCCTCCACTGTCAGTCATGTTTGAACCTTTCAGTGTCTGAACGATGGTGTCGGCTGTTGATCATTTCAGTCATTTATCCAGAAGCAGATTCTCCATAATCTTTGATAATCTTACTTTACTTTTTACTACGTAAAATAAATGATGAATCAGCAGAAAACATTTCAGATGGAGTGAGCTTTGTATCATTCATAAAAGGTCAAATATACTAATTGTTGCTCATGGGTTCATTGGTTTCATAGACTATTATCTCAATGTTCATACCTCACAGGAAATAGTTCTGTTTGTGGATCGAATAGAGCATTTTCGCTTTAACATGGATCTGCAGCAACTTGTGGACTTTACATAGAGACCATTCACCCAATCATGTCCTCCCCTGCTCTGTTCCAGGCGTTTGGCCAGGCCTACTCCACCCAGCGCAAGGTGGCAGAGGATGGGGAGACCAACGAGGAGACGCTGCTGCAGGAGTCTGCCACAAAGGAGGCCTACTACATGGGCCGCCTCCTGGAGCTGCAGGCGGAACTGAAACACAGCCGGGCCACAGCCTCCAACACCCAGGCTGACAACGAGCACCTGAGCACCGTGCTACAGGAGCTCAGGGAGGTACACTACGCCAGCGAGGGTTATGATGTCATTACCATGTCTTACAGGGAGTGGCTGGGTGCTCTTTTAAAACAGGACACCTTCATGTACAGAAGGTTTCAATTTTAAAATGTAAAGCAAAGGTACAACATTTTGTGACATTCCCCCACACACAGATTAAAATATATAAATAGATAAATATATAAATACAAACTAACCAGAGGTTGTTATTTCATATGATGGAGTATTAGGGCCACACTGAGGAAAAAAATCTGAAATTATGAGAATAAAGTCATAACATTATGAGAATAAAGTTGCAATTTTTAGAATAAAATCATATTTCAAGAAAAAAAAAAGTCAAAAGTTTACAAGAATAAAGCTGTAATTTTTACAATAATAAAGTTCCAAAAGTAATTTCAGGTTTCGTGTTTTGGAGGGGAAACATCAGAAGCTTTAAAATGAGGAACGTGGAGAATCCTGTGAAGTTCTACTTTAGCAGAGGAGATACTTCATCTTTTCTCTCATTAGCATCATCATCTTCATCATCAGGACGTTGAAAAGATTGTGAAGAAACTAAGTCTATTCCATTGTTAGACAAACAAACAGCAGAAGCAGTTCAGGCTGACACTGACTCTCCTTTGACCTGTTTGATTGGTTGATGTAATATTCCTTAAAGTTGTTTTTTTTTCTTAAAATTTTACATTTTTAATTATTGAAATATTAGGACGATATCTTTTTTTTCCTCAATGTGGCCCTAATACCCGTACTCATAATTTCATGGAAACAAACAGGAAGTGGTAGAATGGTATCCAGTTGTAGCTGAAGGTTTCCTATGGAGAGGCACTGCAATGAGTCCTTCCTCTCTCTTTCTATGAAAACCCAGCTAACCCAAGACAGCTACTGCAGTATGGATGAAAGTGACTGTGTCATTAACATCATGCAGCTTCAGCTCTGTTTCTGCTCTGTCTCAGCAGAGTAACGAGATGCTGGAGCTGCAGCGCAGCCGGATGAGAGAGGAGATCAGGGAATACAAGTTTCGAGAGTCGCGGCTGCTGCAGGACTACACGGAGCTGGAGGAGGAGAACATCTCTCTGCAGAAACTGGTGTCAACGCTGAAACAGAATCAGGTACAAATCATTCAGACACACTTGGACTTGCTATAGAGAATCAGAAGATATTCAGAATATATTTAAAAATCACTTTTTCTTCAACAGGGGATGATTCGTTGTCCTTTCATTTAGACTTTAAATATATTTTTTCTGGCTGAAGCCAAGTCACTCAGCAACATTATACATTCGTCAACAGTCTCTGCATTTGGGTCCTTAACACAAAACCTGACAGACAATCCAAGGGAGAAGGTGGAATAAAGGTGATTTCGTAAAGAAAACCAATTTACAATACAGGCATAACACAAGTCAGAAATAATCCAGAATCCAGGTAAAAACTCAGGAACACAAAACGGAATCTGTAGGAGACACAGGGGAAACATGGGAGGTAAGGGTGATAAAACACAGGTGTGACACATTAGGGTGGGGCAGGAAGTCAACAAGGAAGGAAACAGGACAAAGATACACAAGGACTCGTGAAATTAATAAAACATGAAATGAAATGAAATACATGTCCAAACTTAAAGAATCCTCTTTGGACAGTTTTGTCTTTTAGTATTTTTACTTTTTTTTTTTTTTATGCTCATAATATAACATGTTTGCTCCTGCAATATAAAAAAACAATATAACAATATTGCTTTTGTCTTTTCAGGGACAGGGAGAAGTCAGAGAGATATTTAAAGCCACAATGTCAGTTCATTTCACATGAAATGTACAGAAGGTTTACAAAAAAACAGATGTAATGAAATCAATGATGCACAGCTTGATTTTCATCCCATGAACGTGCCTATCCCTCCATCTGTGGTTCAGGTGGAATATGAAGGTCTGAAGCATGAGATCAAGGTCCTGGAGGAGGAGACGGAGCTCCTCAACAGCCAGCTACAGGACGCGCTGCGTTTGAAGGAGATCTCAGACGCCCAGCTGGAGGAGGCTCTGGAGTCTCTGAAGAGTGAGCGTGAGCAGAAGAAACACCTGCGCAGGGAGCTGGTCCACCACCTCAGCATGTGTGACGTGGCTTACACCGGCAGCGCCCACCTGACATTCACCTCTGCCCCGCCCAGCGGCACCGCCACCCCCACAACTCTGCTCTCCCCCAACGCAGAGGAGCCCACAAGGTGGATGTCGCACACTTGAAATGAAATTTTGATTTTTAGTGATCACAAGAGCTTCACGTGCAAATAATTAACACTGTCTCCAGCAAAATCCATCTATATCCTATTGATCTGCTTTACCAGACATGTTTTCTATTTCCTGAATTATGCACACTGGCAGTGTATTCACATATTGTCAGGTTCAGGTTCCTGAAACACTTTAAGGTTAGAAAGGTCAACATATTTCTCTAACATTAAAGAACAAGGTTGGCAATATTCTCCATTCCCAAACCAACAATGTGACCTTTAATGTGTTCTTTTCTCAACACTTTGACTTGTTAACTCTGTCCTCGGCTCTCAGCTCCAAGCCCATTGGTTTTGGATCACAAGCATATAGTTTCATTCAAAAAGAGACTCAGTAATTTCCTACAACAGCTGGACTGCGTAGTTTTTTAGCAAATGTTACACACGCACTAGGATGTTGAGGGTGAGTTCATTTACCCTCCCACTCATTTTCTTCTTGTTGGTCGTGCTCTGCTTCTTGACCTCCACCACATTAATTCAAATTTGGTGTTTTGTTTTTTGTTTCAAGCAACACGTCACCCAGTGTAACAGTGAGGTTCACTGGTGTGTTTTCATTAGTTTTCATTGTTAGTTTGAGTTGGAACATGGGATTTTTTGATAGTAAGGAAAATGGGTACCACTTTACAATGAGACTCTGCCAATTGACCACAGAACTCATCGATTGTATTGTAATCGTAATGATTGTAAAAGACTTGCACTCTCAAACTTTGTTTACTGAGCTGGTTATAAATCTCTAACTACTTCTTCTACTTGGTATTTTTGGAAGTAGAAGTTCATTTATGGGCTTTAAAGGTCTACTCTGCCCTGATCTGCCAGATGTAACGGCCACCTCCAGGGCGGGACAGGAGCAGGGCCAGCTGCAGGGCCTGTGCCCAGGGCCAATGGAGAATGTCGGGGGCCGGGTCGAAAATCTGAGGGAGCGGCGACGCTGGACCTCTACAGTGAGATGAACCTGACTGAGATCCAGAAGCTCAAGCAGCACATAATGACAGTGAGTGTGTTCTCTGATCAAGCCTGCTAAAAAGAGGCCTGGATCACGGTGTTAAAGTGTTACACAGAGCTAACAATAATGATAATAATTATTATTATAATAATAATTATTATTATTATAATAATTATTATTATTATCATAAAAACCTTATTGGTATAGCACATTTCATACTAGAAATGTAACACAAAATGCTTTAGAACAGAGAAATGAGATGCACCAAGTGCTTCACATGAAAAGACATGAAAACATGCCGTGCTGAAAGTCAATAACGTCACGGCCTTGAGTGTGATATTGCTTAATTGTAAAATGAGATGGAATAATATTGAAATAATAACATAGAAATAATAATTTAAAGGGTTAGGGTTAGTTAATATAAAGTTAAAAAAACAAAGATTACATACAAGGCATAAAATCAATAATCACTGCTTCTCTGATATCTGCAGGTTCTGTGTTTTTCTCCAGTTGTGACTGGAACCTTCAATAAAGCGGCAGCAGATGATCTCAGTGTCTATAGTTAATCAGGGAGTCAACAATGTAGCTTGGTCCTCCGCTATTAAGGCCTTTGTATATAAGGAGGAGGAGCTTAAAATCAATTCTAAATGTACCAGGAAGTTAAACTGGACTGATGTGGTCTCTGCTTTTGGAGAATTTTGACTCAGCTGAAGTCTCTCAGTAAAAATATAATCACAGTAATCAAGTCGGTTTGAAAGGAAGGCATGAATCAGTCTTCCAGCCTCCTTTTGGTTTATTAATTTGTAATAACACACTGATGGTGGTGTTACAGAACACGTAATGTAATCACCTAATAACTCAGTGACATAAAATCTGTGGCACAGTTTGTATGTGACACTGTGAAAAACAGACGACAGCTCTATTCTTTATTTTCAGTGTCTGTCTGGTTCAGAATCCAGCAGCTGACTCCTCTTTAAAAAACAAAGCTTTTGAATAATTTAATGTGAAACCAAGCTGACATACAGTATCCCCACTGTGTAAAGCCCTCTCTGTCTGTCTGTCTGTCTGTCTGTCTGTCACCTTCTCCCCTTGTCTCCTCCTGTCACACTCTAACTCATTCACTCTTGTTTTCTTTCCCAGCACCTTTGTCTCACACGCTCTGAGCATTTCTCAAACTTAGTGAATCAGTTCATGCTCAGATCACCACAAATCTGTATATTGTGTGTGTAGCACGTGTGTGTGTGTGTGTGTGTGTGTGTGTGTGTGTGTGTGTGTGTGTGTGTGTGTGTGTGTGGCTCTGTTTCAGTTCCTGTAGGTGTAATCCCATCCTCCCCTGCTCTCTGCAGCCTCTGTGATAGGCCGGGCTGCAGGAAGAGTTTATTTATATCTCACTGATACACCACACTATCGACCAGGCCCCAGTAGATGGTGGGTTTCACTGCTGGCTTTATATTAATGACATACAGTATCCCCACTGCGTAAAACTGCAGTATTGTTTCTTCACAACCAGAAGAACTTGAACTGTTTACCTCAGTGTTATTTGGTGAAGTGGTTCTGTATGAGCTAACACAATGAAGATGTGCAGTTTCAAAGATTCTTTTGAGACAGTCTTTATGGTTCAGTGTAAGTTAAAAGTTTTTAGTTCAGGTCTGGATGTGGAGGTGGTAAGAGATGTGTTTTTGTGTTGAATAGTGTGTCTCAGTCAAACATATCACACTTTGTGTTAGGAACAAAATCACTGTGTCTGCATCAGTGTGACAATTAAATATGGCCTGAGAAGGGAAGGTGTGAATAAGTCATCCATGGCTTTAAGGACTTATCAGATGCCAGAACACAACAGCAGGGTCAGCCCTATATTCTGCAATGTCCCTCACTGACTGACTGACTGACTGACTGAGGGATGATATTTCCACCACTGGTCAGTGGAGTGCCAAGCCGCAGTCTATTGAGCCACTCTGGTTTCCTGCTCAGGAACTGCAGGGAAGAGGAGGAACACTCCCAATACACTGAGCCTCTCCTCCATTACAGCAAATATAAGACTTTCATTCCATGTATCATTATTACTAAAGGAGGCAGAGGAATAACTAAACATAAGACACATGAAGCAGAGAGAGCAGGAGAGAGGGAGGGAGAGAGAGAAGTCATTGGTAACGAGGCTTTGTACTAACGACTATGACCAACTCTACATATCAAACAGAGGGAGTTAGACATAAAGACCTGCCTCTAATAAAAGTCTGTTACATTCTGAAGTTGAAGTAAATAAAGACTAAACTATTGTGGATCCAGACGGAGGCTGTGCTCTGTGTGAGAGACTCGATAAGAAAGACAGTCTGTCTGGGGCCCGAGACAGACTATCTTTCAGGTGGTTCACCTGGTGAAGCGTGTGACATTTGGTCTTAGTCTTTGCCCCGGTGGCCAAGGTTCGAGTCCAGCCTGTGGCCCTTTACAGCATGTCCTCTCCGTCTCTCTCTCTCTCACTAGGACTGTAATAAAGGCAAATGAATAACAAAGTATTAATGCTTGAAAAAGTTACTTTAAAAAAAGAAAGACAGTCTGTGTCTTCTAACTTCCTCTCTGAGTGATCATGTTGCAGTAAAAATGTTGTGAGATGTGACATTAACTGTAAAGAAAAGTGTCTGGACAGTTGAACTTAGTGTAGAGAAATGGGAGTCACCAGCTGCTGAAAACATCCATGCAGTGTGTGGATAAACAGTTTAAGTTGAGTACTGTCCTTCTTCTGAGGATTTAGCACCATCTTTAGAAACTGAGTTTGAGCCTGTTGATCCATTACACAATGAACTAAAACACTAACATTACAATGTATTTCACTATTGCACTTAGCAATTAATGTGTATCACATCATCCACATGCATACACGATTGTCCTTGTGCGAGGGCTAATGCAGCACAAGATACAAACAAACTGAGGACGAGGACTAGATTTCTCCCTTTGATTATTATGATAGGTGAATTGAAGACAGTCTGTTGGGAATTTGACTGTTATCTGAACCTTACATCTGCAAAACTGTCTTTCAGAATAAGATACAAAAATTTTTGTTTTTTCTTTTTGGCTGTGCCCATTGTCAGTATCAATGTCAAAGTCTAAATTTGATGTGTTAGATGGTCTGAGCCTGTAAAAAATATACAAAACATCTGGGATTAATACATCAATACATGGCGTTCTCTTCTCCTGCTGCTTCCTCCTTCAGGTGGAGCGTGAGAAAGTAACGCTGATGACGAGCCTGCAGGAGTCCCAGACTCAGCTCCAACACACCCAGGGGGCCCTGACCGAGCAGTATGAAAAGGGGCTCCGCCTTACCCAGAAAGTCACCGCCCTCCGCCGCCTGCATCGAAGGGCCCACAGCAGTGTCATCTCCCAGTTCAACCCCGACGCCCTGATGGAGCTAGGCAGAGATGAGGAGGAGGCTGAGGGAGAGGGAGAGACTGGGGAGGATAGGAGCGAGACACTGAACAGAAATCAGGTGTTTTCATACCAAACGCCGGGTCTGGAGATCATGCAGTGCAAGTACCGTGTGGCTGTGACAGAGGTGGTGGAGCTAAAGGCGGAGGTGAAGGGCCTCCGTGAAAGGCTGGCTCAGTGTGAGGAGGCGGCGGCGGAGGAGAGGCCAAAACGAAACAGTCAGCTGCACAAGATGGAGAGGCAGGCCGCCTCGTTGGAGAAGAGCTGCCGGGAGGGACGTGAGAAGGTAACCACTGTAGACCGACTGTGTCTGTCTGAACAGATCGAGAGATGGTTACATGAAGATGAAGGGTTTCTTCTTGTCCCTCCTCCCTCAGATTTCCAGTCTGGAGTTGGATTTGCAGGCAGCTCAGTCCGCAGCCAATGAGAGCCAGGGGGCGCTGATTGCAGCTCAAGACGAGCTGGTGATGCTGAGTGAGGAGCTCGCCCAGCTCTACCATCACGTCTGTCTGTGCAACAATGAGACGCCCAACCGCGTCATGCTGGACTACTACAGGTCTGACTGTTGTTTTGTCAATGACAAACACACAGCAGTAAAAGAGGGGAATTCGATTTCTCAAAGTGACAGGGACCGAGGCTCAAAGTGACACATTTCACAATAAAATCTAGATTTAGTCTAAACTGTTCATTTAATTTGTTAATATCATCATTGATTAGAGTCATCAACAGATTCTCCTGATGATGCTGGACAGTACTTTTGCCAGAGCTCTCTCTGGTGCCATTGCAGCTCCAAACACAGTCAACCTACTCAGAAGGCTGGTTTTTTAATGCTCTGAATGTGCCTGTAGTCTGGCTCCTTGTCTGCAGCCAATTTTCACTGGGAGTCTGAATAAGACAAGAGTTTATTCATCTCCAAGTGGAAATTCACAGGAGTTACAGAGAAATCTGAAGGAAAATTATAAAGGCACAGTGCTTTATTAATTCAAGAATATGTTTACAGGCTACCACTGGCAAGATGCTATTGGCTAGCAGACCACACTTTGAGAGGCATAAGTTAGGGCTCTTCACCACACTGGCAACAGGGTGGTGAAGAGCCCTCTATTTTAACGATCCAAAGCTAATGGTCTGGAGCGTGTGGCACAAGTGCATTCAGTGCTTGTCACTTTTGCTATTTTAACGACGGGAAAAACAGACGCTGCTCAACGTGCATGGTTCAATGGGTTGTACTTAATCTTTAAATTATTCATAGGAGTGTTTTGGGTGTAACATCCAATAAACCAATCAGGGCGCATCTCCCATTCCCTTTAAAAACCAGGTGTGCTGCAGCTTGGTGTACTGCTATTATAATGGACCGGTGTTTCACTCAGCTCCACAGTGAAGTAACGGCACAAATCACAATGTTAGAAATATTTGATGTGATATGATGAGACGTGCGAATAAATCTTCAGTTCATTATAAAACTGTGGACAAATTGAGGTGATGAATGTGGAACACTGTGGAGAAGCTTTCTTACTACATGGTAAATCCTCCAGTCTCACATAGAGATATCCATGACACATGACCACGTCATACAACACACGTCACACAGAAGCTCCGACCTTCTGAGGCTGTGTTGTAATGTTCCACCTGACTTATACCAACATCTAAGAGCATCTTCAGCTCACTCTGCTTGTGTGTAACAGGCAGAGTGCATGTGCTCTGTGCGCCTGTGTATGAAGGCGTATATTACTCTCTTGATAATGCTCCTATAACAGTGAAATACTGCAACACTGACTTCAGACCAGGTTTTTGTTGGTCAATCACTTTCTTCTGCTTTAAGATAGTAATGCACCAACAATGCTCCTCACCTCCCCTCATTTTAAGACCAACACGCCCATTGTGGAAAAGTGTATTTGCTATTTAAACAACGTGGTAGCTCGATCGGAAAATAACAACTGGCCTGAAACTGAATAGACGCTTGTGTCCCGCTTTGCGACGCTTTGTGCAGGGTATAAGATAGAGCCCTCAAACTCAGACTTAGTGGATACCTGCAGCAGATAATCACTAACATATTAAAGGTTGTATGTGTTAAAAAGCTGTTCTCATTCTGTTTCTGCTTGTAGACAAGGCAGAGGGCTCAGGGGCCTCAGTGCCAGTCTCAAAGCCATGTCCTCGGACAACAGCAAAGTTCTCCTCACACCACGCCTTGCCAGGCGGCTGGCCGCTGTCGCTTCCACAACCTCAAGTCCCGGGGAGTCGCGGAGCCCCTCGGAGTCTCCATCCAAAGAGCCCCTGTCGAGGGAGGGTGGAGGGGAAGAGAAGGAGGGAGACAAAGAGGGCCTGCAGATGCCATCTGAGCAGGGCCCAACGGCCTGCACTCCTCCGACCCGGTCACCCAGTATCAGTGCCTCTTCATCGTCATCATCATCATCATCGCCTGCCATGGAGCCAGCCGGTGAGCTGCGCAAGGAGCCCATGAATATCTATAACCTCAACGCCATCATCAGAGACCAGGTAGAACACAGTTCTTGTGCTGGTGTCACTTTGTCCTGTCAGTCCTCTTTTCTGACACTTTTCACCTTCAGCACAAATGGATCATTATTTTCAGATAACTGTCTCTGTCTAGTTCAACCCCCCTCCCTCCAGATTCACCCTTTTGTCCTTTTCCCCCCATTTATTTTCCTCCATCTCTCTCTTTTCTCTTCACTAAGATCTGACATCTCTGTTAACTAAAGTCTGATTTTCATGTAATTTGTTTTTTTCAGCTGAGTATTTTCATTCCTTTCCTTCCTTCCTGTTCATCTCTCCTCTGTTCTTTTCTTCCACAGATTAACTCTCTCCTTTTAGCCAGACTCACCCTCAAAATGTCTCCCCTCCACCTCTCTCCCCTTCCCCTCCCCCAGGTGAAGCACCTCCAGCGGGCAGTGGACCGGTCTCTGCAGCTGTCCAGACAGAGAGCTGCAGCCAGGGAACTGGCCCCTCTGCTGGACAAGGACAAGGAGAGCTGCATGGAGGAGATCCTGAAGCTCAAGTCTCTGCTCAGCACCAAGAGAGAGCAGATAGCCACCCTCAGACTGGTGCTCAAGGCTAACAAACAGGTACAGAGGGCTGACATGTGACGTGTTCATGTGAGTGTAGGGCAGAACGATATAAGTCTAACAACATTTTGGTCTATGGGGCAAAAAAACCCCCAAAAAATCATATGTTGGCATGACAGCCAAGAAGGTACAGGAAAGACATTAGGCTAGAACACTCACATAAGTTCAGCAAAGTGCACGATTAAAGACTCTTTTGTTCAGATTTTAGGCTGTCAGACAAAGAGTTGATAAACATGACTCTATTATGACTGTTGACTGCAAACTAACCAATCAGAGTACTGTATGAAACGATGCACAATGTGTTGAATGCAATAATATTATCCCCATAAATCTGCTCCAAGTCTCCAATCCATCCATCCATCCACGTATCTGTCCATCCACCCATCCATCCATCCACACATACATCTGTCCATCCATCCATCCATCCATCCATCCATCCATCCATCCATCCATCCTTCCATCCATCCATTATGTCAGCCCCATGAGGAAATGAATATAGGCTGTCTTTACCTGCAGCTGATGTTATTGTCATGTTTTGGTCGTGGGTCCAAGATCTCTTGATAAAGTCTTGATAAATGAAGGATATGATATGATATATGCTTTGATATCAGTTGCTACTCTGCTTCTTTTCCTGTGATATTTAAAGCAGATATTTGCACAGACATTTCAAAAGACAATGGCTTTATTAGAAATGAAAAATCCAAACACAGCCACCAGTGCTGGGTTTAACGACGCCTTTAGGGAATGAGCCCAGCAGTTTATAGCCTGACTGTTTACTGGCCTACACTCTCCCAAAGCGCATCAACCAATAAGGTTGATTGAAGTACTCACTTGACTGTCCTGAACCTTTCCCCCATTGCAATTAGTTTATATTGCCTGTTTTATATGATTTCTTTCTAAGGCCTGTGTGTATCAGTGATTCAATGCAGCAGCTAGAGTTCACATTATCCACTGAGAAAATGTCTACCAACACCTCTGACGACCTTCACTGATTTGGAGTTGCACACAGTGCAAACTATACTCATTTGCTGTATACAATACAAACACTACTCATTTCAAGAGTTGTTATGTTAGGTGTGGCACACATTCAAGTGAAGTGAGATCTTTGTTTTTCATAGCAACATATTTGGACACTGCATAAAACAATTCATGATACATGCGTGTGTGTGTGTGTGTGTGTGTGTGTGTGTGTGTGTGTGTGTGTGTGTTCACCCAGACGGCAGAGGTGGCTCTGGCCAACCTTAAGAGCAAGTATGAGGCAGAGAAGTCCATGGTGACTGACACCATGATGAAGCTAAGGAACGAGCTGAAGGCACTGAAGGAGGACGCCGCCACTTTCTCCTCCCTGCGAGCAATGTTCGCCACCAGGTCAGAGACCAGATACAAGAAATACTGTCAGGAGACCACAGAGCAGTTTCGAGTTTTTGTCCAGAAAGTGACTCCTGATGAATTCTAATCCCATAATAACTTCATAAAGCGATGATGTGTTTGGGCTTTTTGTCATCATGTTTTGGACTTACTCTGCCCCCAAGTGGTGAAAATGTCAATCACTGCAGCATTAATATTGAAATATCACGTCTTCTATGGTTACGTTCAAGAAAACACAGAGCATCTAATCCATCAGTCAAGAAATGTTCAAGTCTTAAAGAATTCACTTATCTGTTGTGAGTTAGATAAGAAGATAGATGCTCTTCCCAGGTCTGTTTCTTGGGCACAGTCATTTCTTTGACCTCATCCCTCTCTCATTTTGTTTCTTGCTCTCCTCAGATGTGACGAGTATGTGACCCAGCTGGATGAGATGCAGAGACAGCTGGCTGCAGCTGAGGATGAGAAGAAGACTCTGAACTCCCTCCTCCGGATGGCCATCCAGCAGAAACTCGCCCTTACCCAGCGCCTGGAGGATTTGGCTTTTGATCAAGAGCAGACCCACCGCACCCGTGGGGGCAGGCTGATCCGTGGGAAGACGAGCACCCCCAAAGTAAGTGCCCTGTCCTCGGCTTCGGCCTCCAAGCCAGCCCAAGGCTCCACTTCAGCTTTGGCCCCTGGCAGCCTCCCTGTTTCTGGCCTTACTAGTCCTACATCAATTGTTCCTGATGATCCCATTGTGCCGCTCAGCCCGTCCATGGTCAGTGCAGCTACTGCAGCCCTGGCTTCAGCTCTTACCTCCCCTACCTCACACATACCCCATTGCAGTCCGTCATCACCAGTGGCCACTTCACTGGCTGGCCCTCTAGTGCCAGAGAGCCCCCCATCTCTGGAGGCCCCCTCCACTCCCTCGGTGCGGACCCCACCCTCAACCCCTCTGAAGCTGGCTCATTCCCAGTGGACCCTTGGGGTGCGGACGTTTGTGGTTGACTCCCAGAGTTTCAATGTCAATATCTCCCCGACTCTGCCCCGTAGCTTGGGGATCTCCAGGCACTACATCTCAGACACACACACCTCTCCACCACCATCCACCACCACCACCACCACCACCAGGCCCACCCAGCCAGGATCTGCCCCCTCTTCTCCATACCGCTCCCCTAATCTGGGGCTCAGGCGCTCCACGTGGAGCCCCTCACCTCGAACTCGGCCCCTCTCTAGCCTGACACGCTCCTCTGTCCTCTACACTCCTTCCTCGTCCTCCCCTTACTCCTCGTCCTACTCCCCTTCCTCCTCCCACAGCTATTCCTCCGCTTATTACAGCTCCTCTCCTGCTTTTACACCCTCTAGCTCCTACCTCGCCTCTAGCACCTCCACCTCCTACAGCCACTCCTCCCACTACACACCCCTGTACCCCAGATACTACAGTTCTTACCGGCCCCGGCACTGACCTGCCCCACTGTAAATCCTTTGCTATAAGCCTTTTTCAGCCTTTTCCACCAGGCTCCTTATTGAAACTGCAACTCCCATCATGCCTCTCTTTTCTTCACCTGAGAGATTGGGGGCTCACAGAGAGGAGGACAGAGTGGTTTCCTGTTTCCCAGTCCCTGTTTTCCTGTGCCTAAGCCTTGGCCAATGGGTTCTGAATGTTCAGTGACTTGCTCAGGGATTTGACATGAGGAGCACAAGCGCCTTCCTTTTATTCTGAGACTGCTGATTGGTCCACAGGAGGGCGTTTAAAAAAAGAGACTTTTTATTGGGAATTTTTAGTGTTTATGTTCTTCAGGTTGAGACCACACATGCATGAAGTGATTAAAAGAGACAGAGACATTCAGACATTGATGGGACACTTGGCGGACACTTTCATAGCTTTGAATGAGGGCCATGATACATTAAATACTGTCCTCTATATTCAGTGTAATATCCACTCTGTTTTTAATAGTAGTGAGTCTCATATACTGCATTGTACTCAGATACTTAAGGGTTCAGTATGGTTCAAATGAACTAGGTACAAAGTGTCCTCCAAACGTGTCTGGAGACAACAGTGTGTATCATTTGGGCGGCCACATTCAAAGGTGGGGTTAATGATAGTGAATGGTACAAAAAAGCCTGCAGGTTTTTACACCTACGCACACTTGGCCAATCGTGTGATCAAGTCAGTGTGGTTGTTGGATAGTTTTTTCAAAAAGGTACAAAACTTATTGGACACAGCCTCCTAAACTCCAGTATTGTAAGAGTGTGAGGGGATGGTGTTTGAGTTTCCCACAAGAAATTAGTTTGAAGCATACTGACTCCTTTAGGGTTTCAACTTTGATTTCACACAATAATCTCACAGAGACTCACACACACACCTTGTATGATGAAGTAGCTGTGGGTAAGGAGTGACGAACGCGTCACTGGTATTCACTGGATATATTGTCAGGGTGGGCACTGCTTTCCAACACAAACCTGTGCATCTCAATGACTATTCTTCATTTCCTGCCTCGGGTTGTTGCCATCATCACAACTCAACCTTTAGCAATTAGCATTTTTGTCTCTCACTAGCACCACCCAGTGGTTTGTTCTTATAGCCATGTACTCAGCTATGCATGTTCACGTTTGGATGCTCTGATTCTGCAGATTTCCTTCCCCTTCCATATGAAAAATGTATCTGATAGAGGTGCAGACTGGAAGAGAAGAACTTATGAGAAGGAGGAAGTGGAGTGGAGAGCACTCAAACATGGCATATGACCACTGTAGGATCAGCTGAAGCCCATAGTCTAGTCACTGTACAGGTTGAGGTGTGTCTCAGTAGTCTGAGTCGCTTTCTCCTCATGTTTTATTTGGAAATGCCACAAGTAAAGGAGGGAATGAATCTCAGTGATAGTTTTGGGTGATTACATTTTTAAATGAAAGATTTCACAGTGATTATTTTTTTTCTCAAAAATGAATAAAACAAGATGAAATAAGAGAGTGTAACCACATGACCACATGACTTAGTATCTTTATATCCACACAGTTACAGGAAGAGGAAGTGATCACAGACTTTTTAGACACACCTTCATGGCTGACTTCAGTGAACTATCACACCAATGATGTAGCACCCTCTTGTGCCTCTGAGGTCATCTGCAGAGGTTTGTCCAGCAATACAGAATGAATGTATTCAGGTTATGTGAAGGTTCGTTCATGGCACTGCACCAAACTCAGGGAATGTGAAAAACTTCATTCGACCTGGAATCGCTTAACAACCAAACCAGAATGACTACAAGCATCACGATATATTTTTTCGCTGGGAGAGCAGACCTCCCAGGTTAGAAAGCACCTAAGGTTAGTGTTAAGTTCAAATCGATTTTAAAGGTCCCATATTTTACACTTCCATTGTTTTTATTTGTGTTGTTTGTATAAGTGTTGATCCATAAGAAGATATATTTGTGGTTTTTAAGAACCAAAAACCATCTCAGTGTAGTTTTACATCTCCTCTCTCAGGCTTCTCTCTGGATAATAACTCTCTAATAACAACAGGTCGGTGAGCCAATCAGAAGAGGGTGGATGGTAGGCGGGGCTTAGGGCATGGCTGAGAGCGGTGACTGCTTCGTTGCAACATCACAAAGTTTCAGAAGTCTTGACAGCTAGTTTTAAGTTTCTGAATTCAGGCTGTGTGCATTTCTCTGTGGACTGAGCTTTGATAGTTTCACAGTATTAATACAGAACCTAGACCTGCTTTATAATCAAACAACACATGGACATCTACCTTTAGACTATATGGGACCTTTAAAAGAACAGTCTTCAGATTTAAGAGGTTTTACATCTTACGTATAGTCACAGGAGAAGACTGATATCAGTTTCATGTACAGTGTGTCCAGTACAGAGATAAGTCTCAGATGTGTGGAAAGAACTAGATAACTGTAGCAGTTGGTCGCGATCACAATACACAAGATGACACCATATAAAAAGCCTGAATTACCCAAATTTTTATTGGTTTACACTTTTGTAGCAGCTTATTGAAAGTGAAGCCAGATAAATAAAATAGGTCCTTTTGACTGAATTTAAGTTCATTTCAGATTTTGAGCAGTTGAAACCATCTTTCCGCTAGTTTGTTCACACTTCCCTTAAGTCTTCCTGATGAATGGTGGATATTGTAGCTGTCAGAGACTTCTGACATCTTTAACTTTTTGACATGAACAGTTCTTCCTGCTCTGCTGCTCGTAATGAAGGTCTGAACCTGTTTTGTTCAGACCCCATATCCAGACAGCATCTCCATAATGAGAATACACCCCCCAGCATGTGGTTAGCTCCTAGACACCAGTACATCCTTACCTCTGTACTCGATTCACTCATTCATTGATGTTGATCTTCTCTTTTGAGCTGAAACTTATTGATGTACTTTAACTGTTGACTAACATCATATCTGAGGTCCCACCAGTCCAGCACACATGATACCGTATTCCCTGTGTCTGTGTGTGCCTTACAGAACCTGTTATACAGAACCAACACAGTGTAGCCTAATAACTAATACCTGCTCTGGCTGATTGTCTTTTGTCTGGACACAAAACCTTGTAATGTGCTTCCTTTATTTTTCATTTCCACATCTGCGCCTCAGGCTAAAGTGCTGTCGTTTTGTGTATTTGTTTTTATCTTGAATCACTTTCTGTGGGTTGGATAATGACTCAGCTGTGAGACAATACTTGTAACTGTCAGTAGATCTTTTTTGTCTGGGTGCTGGGTGCTGGGTGCAGCCCACATCCTCTTCAACTTTCCTTCTTTATCTCCTCCATTGTTGGAACCTTTAAACACCACTCTTCTTCTTTCTTTCAACCTATCACTGCTGAATATTTACCCCTGTCTAATACTGTAAATGGATGCACCGTCATGCCTACAACACACAAGTTTTTCAATATGCAACATGGGGCAAAATCACATTTGACAGGCAGTTGTCTTTGCCATGATTGGACAATATCTTGCCTTCATTTTTTTCTAACTAAACCATTGAAGCTCTGTGTCTGTAATCTGATTTTTAAAGTTGCAAATGGCAGTGAAGCTCCTGCTCGACTGACATTTTCTTTTGAAAGATGTATCAGCATAAAATGTTTTAGACACACTCAGTGTGGGACTGAATGTTCATTCACAGTACATCCCTCCCTGATCTGTACTGCACTGCAGTCAGCACCAGAGCTGATCCATTCTCTGAAGCCTGACCTCCATGAGTCATTCAAATCATATTGTCAGGAGGAAATGTACATTACTTCCATTAGAGGACCAAACTAGTGTTTCAGTTGTTTACAAAGTTTAATACAAATCACATACTTCACTGATGGGCGCTTTCTACAGAGTGCTGATTGATTTTTGATTTTGGATTGGATTTTTTGTTTTGCCTTCCTCTCAGCTACTGGTTTTCACTTATTTTACAGTGTGCAAACTAACTTGCTAGATCAGGGGCCGCTTTCACGAAGATATTTCCCACTGGCCTGTAGTGTTGGTCCAGTCTTCATTTTGCTCATAGAGTCATACAGTCTAATACAAGTAAGACTGACTCATTTTAAGCCAAAACATTAGACAAATAACTCACAGGCTAACTCAGGCCAAATACCAATGTTACCATGGTAACAATCAGTGACAGTGACACCTGCGCTGACCTGTAGCACCCAGCGAGATGGGAAATAGTTTCTAGAGACAGCAGCCATTTTTTTTCCAAAATGTTTCTTTGTTGTTACACTCTTCATACACTCTTGTAACTGTTGAATTCTTCCAAAAGACAAACCTTTTCTGCTAAAAATGGAGCTGAGCAGTTAAATGCAGTTCCTCGGGCGACCATTTTGTTTATTTTGAAAAAAATAATAAGACAGACTTAGACTTAAGACTTAATTTAGACTCAGTCTATCTGAATAGAGTCTGAATAGAGTCTGTCTTTGTGAAACTGGCCCCTGATCTAGAACCACCTGCCAAATACAGTACACTATAATATTAGCAGCAGATCATGTTGGTGTGCCCTGCACTTCATACATTATTACCCAGTATATAGCTGAGAAAATAACCTCCTTGAACCTACTGCTCACCTGCTGGAGTGCTGCAGTGTGCAGTGGCTGGAAGCTTCAGTATATTACAGCTATTCTATTCAATAAAATGGTCGTCCCCCTATTAGTGTATTTGTAAGAATCCTTTCTCAGTTGTTGTAAATCATGTTTTTTTGAGACTTCACATTCATAAAACATCCTATAATATAATGTCCCACCTATAGGTCACTAAGAGTGTCCTGTGGGGAGTTTGTATTTTTAAAATCCTTCCCATAATATATGTTATGAGATGCTCAGGAGATAATGATGCAGAATATCATGTCAGCATTCCAGCTAGAAAGAAAGAAAAACATTAAAATACACCACAGTGAGATTTTGACAGTTATCAACAGTAATGTTGATCAGTTTTAGACAATGGGTCAAACCAAGGTACCTCATTGATCACTGGAAATGGTTTGGGGCTACCTGAAGTTACCTGATGCTAGTTTGAGATATTTTCAGTCAAGCGCAGATTCTTTTGGTTCATATCTTAGTGTGATTGTCAGCTGTGCTGCAGGATTACTCAGACAGACTAATATTTATCTATAATATAATATTTCTTCATTCACAGCTCGATTGGACATCCAACATATTTATGTTTATTGGATGCAGAGTTGAGAAAAGAGGACTCAAAACGAAGGAACATTAGGATCTGGTGTGGATGTAATCTGTATGTTGGCTGAGGTAAAAGAAGGAACCCAGTGTGATCTCCTCTCTGTGACACCCCCCTCCCTCTGTCTAAACAGATGCACACTTACACACTCACTCACTGACACACACGTCCCTCCTATCAGACCTACAAACCTCTGCAAAACTTTTAAATTTAACCAGTGAGAGACAACATGAAGTCTGTCAAATGTTGTTTTCTGCCCCATGACTGGAAAACCAGTGTCATTCATATGCTGTTTTAGAGTGATCTCTGTGGACCTAAAGGGAAAGAGTTCATGCAACAGACATGTGTTGAAGTTGATTGGCTGCAGTTTGATTGGTGTCCTAATATCTCTGGATTGAATGATACAGTTAAACATTCTCCATGGTTTAAATAAATGTGATGTAGGGTTAGAGAGAAACATTATACTGAGGTATTTTCCCTAGAATACTGTACTGGTGACAGTATTAGGTGTCATCATGCGCACACTCATCAGGTGTTCTTGAAAATGCTGACTTCATTACAGCCAAATGAAATGAGTTTTGCCATACAGACATTTCATAAAGCGACTCAGAATTGATCTTCGGTGAGAAATCATCTCAGAGAGGGGTCAGAACTACGCAAGCTGAGAAAGGCCATACTCGCAAATACTTTTTTTATCCCGTTATCTCAAGAAAATAAAGCTTATTATTCCAAGATATTATCAGGAGAAAATTAGTTTTTGTTTTTCCAAAATAAGATATTATCAGGAGAAATTGATTCTTTGTTATCTCAAGATAACGAGATATTATCAGGAGAAAACGTTTTCGACTGAAGCTCATACACTAAGTCATGAGTAACAGTTGTCCTTAGCAACAATCCTCATAGTGCAGCAGATAACGGCATATTTCAGGAGAAATTTTTCAAATGTGGATAAGAGTATAGTAAATTTGGCACAAATCCTCCTTGGGTATTACTCTTTTGATAAAACACAGTCATAGCCATTCAAGATGGCCACAGTTTCCAAGATGGCTGACATTTATGGCAAGGAAATGTCATTTTTTCCCATATGAATGATCTGGGTGTCAAATCAAACATTTTAACAATGTAGACGGTGAAATTTAGTACATTGTAAAAAATGAAACTTGTGAAAATTTTAACTGTTTACCTACATTTTGCAAATTTAAAGTCCTGCTGAATTAGAACAATCATACAGAGTGAAAAACCTTGTCAGGATAAAAAGAATTTTAATTATTTAAAATAATATTTAATTAACATTAAGAATAGAAAATTTGGCATCCTTATGGTCAAAAACATAGGATTCAATTGCAAAATCATTGAAATCTTTCCAATGGGAAAACTCTGTGGTAAAATATGTGTTTCCTATTCTGGAAACGGCGGACATCTTGGAAAATGGCAGCCTTTTGAAATTTCAAGTAGCTAATAGGATTTTTCTGAAATGAATAGTCTCAGAGGCATAAACATTTGATCCTGGTATTAACATTTGAATGATTATTACACTTATCTACTGTATCTTTGATTAACAAAGTCATTATAATGAGAAAACAAGCTTTGTTATCTGAAGACAACAGGATAATTTTCTCGTTATCTTGAGATAGAAAAAAAACGTTTTCTCCTGATAATATCTCATTATCTTGGGATAACGAGCTTTGTTATGATACTGAGATACTGGGATGAAAAAATATTTGCGAGTGTGGCCTCTCTCGGCTTCTGTACAGAACCAAAGAACAGTCAGTTTTTCCAGTTGGAGAGCAGGTGAAAAACTATGACAAAAAAAAAATGTAACAATTCCTCTTCAGTTTGTGACCATGACAGTCAAATATGTTCTAGACTAGAATTCTTAAAAGGCAGCTATACTAACTAGATAACCAAGAAACCTTTGCATATTAAGACTGTAACAGCTACACAAGGTACGGTGAATCATCTGGTTCCCTATGTATCTGTGCCCTGTCAAAGTTGGTCTCTCGATGGAAGAAAAAACCTGTTATTGCTCAAAACGTTTCATATATTGCCAAATCGCATAAACACGCATCAATAGAGTGAAAATACCTCTTAGTTGAGACAGTTGTAGGTGGATTTGTGACCATGAGTGTTGTATATAAAATAAAAAGTAAGAAAGATAGGTTAACTCAAAAAATGTTCTTCTCTTCAGGAGGCTTTTAGTGATACTGTAACAGTACAGAGCGCCAAAGTAAGAATGTACCTCATAGTGAAGATGTAAGAAAACCTCAGAATCACATAAGAAATTACTAACAACTAAGTCCTATAACATCCTGTAATGTTGCTCAGCAGTGAAGATTGTAGCTAACAGTGTCTAGTCAAAGATTATACATTTTTAAAATCATTGCTGATTTAACAAACACTACTCCCTGCAAGCCCAAGACCTTTGCAGACTGACCTGAGGCTAGTTGACTGGCTAATGTGACTAATCTGTAAGAACAGGAGTAAAGGAAGGGCTGAATGGTGTGGAGGTCTTTTAGACAGTAGCAATAACAGAGTAAATGTTTGAGAGATGACATCATGGATAAAGGAGAAACCAACAGTTATGATGACTATAGTCATTCACTTTTCAGAAAACCAGAGGAAAGAAACCCTCAGTCTGAGAGTTACAGAAGCTGGTGGAGCAGTACTGAGTCCTGAGGTGATATCAGGTCTTCTGCTCTCTATAACACACTGTAGCTCATTACTGTTGCACTATTATTCCTCACCATTACTGGCAGGAGTGTGGAAACAGGATCACCATTGTCGCTGGAGTTTGAGAAACACCAACTTTAAACTGTTACAGTTTGAGGATGAGATCCAGTTGAGCCTTTATTGGAGTTAACCGGCTGCCATGTTTGGTCTTCTTATTGTTAAATGCACCCATGATGACATTAATGGAGCTTGCTTAGTCAGAGAAAGTGACTCTGTGGCTCCAGCCCCTGTATTTAAAATTCAGATTAACTCATTTCTAAGAAATGTCTGTCTAGCTAAAACTCCAAAAGTCAGACCTGTGCTGGTCATGCTTCCTGTAAGCAGCACCTCTGAGCTAATGCCCTGTCCAGACATCCAGACTGTTAAATGTCATACCACTGAATGTGTCCAATGCCTGTTTGCTTTCTGACCACTTTATATGCACGTGTAAATACCAAGTATTTTAAAGCTTTAACTGTACAGTGTTATGTTAATATAGCCTATACTGTAAATATCTAAGAATTAATACTTTGTGTGTCGTATTTTGTCATTGGGTGACTGATGATCACTCTCTTACATTCTTCCACACCGGGAATATTCATTTTCATAATTCCCCTAACAGTCATAAGTTCAACTTTACAGTATATTTAGGTCATACAGCCCTTCAACACAACGTCTCATCTCACTCTTAACATTAAATCCGAATCAAGCTTAGTCTTACTGATGTGTGGGTAAGTGTTGAGCCCTTCCTTTTCTTCCTTTCGACAAGCCTTCATCATCTGAAGTGTTTACATTGTGTGTCTGTGTTTTGTGTTCATCTAACAGTGTCAGTTTTTTGCAGATTGTCAGTAGTCTTCTGCCACAGTGGCGTTCCTCATACCCCCCCCACAGCTGAGGGTTTGGGTCTCCTCAGCTCTGTTGGCAGGTAACACCAACATCACAGTCACACACACACGCACGCACGCACACACACACACACAAACACACTCACACTCACACTCACACTCACACTCACACTCACACTCACACACACACACACTCACACACACACACACACACACACACACACACACACAGCGACCAGCAGACTCTAGAGACAGGTTTTTAACTGCCCTCCCTAAATCACCCCACTTATATCACTAATTGTCCGATTTTTATGTCCTCTGCGCCGGTGACAGCCAGAGCCGGTTTTCAAGTTGTTCACATGCCCGTCCCATTCTCGTGGACATGATAGCTCATTAATGCCTCAATGGAATTTATTAAAATTGGGGACAAACATTCACTGGGACTCAAGGATGAACTGATTAGACTTTAATGGTCAAAGGTCAAGGTCAATATCAATATTCAGCCCTTACTCAACACTTCTCAGAGCAATTATGGCAAAATTTCACATATTTATAATATTTTCTATGACTCTGGATAAACAAGGATGTAACCCGAAATTAGTCTGAGTGGCGGAAGCAGACAACCACGAGGAGATGATTCTAGTTTTTCTCAGATTATAGAATGCTTTGACCCAAAATATTGCCTGTGAGTCAAAGGACCAGTTGAGTGCTCCTTTAAAATGTAAGTCTAAATCCCAGATATCCTGGAGCACTTCCTTTTCTAATGAAAAGATAAAGGAATGATGTTAAAGAATATTATGAGAATGTTAGACAACAGTTAAGGCTTAGTAACTGATGTGCAAAATGTGGCCAGGTTGGCGGGTACTCTATTGTTTTTGGATTTTTTTAGTTATGCTAGCAGTATGGTTATAGTGAACCATGTCAGTCTGTTGGTGAGTCAGCCACCACTTTGGTCCAGACTGAAAAATTTGAACTATTGGATTGATTGCCATGAAATCTGAATGTAAACAGACATTCATGGTCCCTAGAGGATAATCCTTAATGACAGACATTCATGTTCTACTCAAGAGGAACTGAAATCACTTTGGGGATCCTCTGACTTTTCATCTTGGGCCATTATCAGGTCAGAAATTTCAATTTGTCCAATACCTAAACTAAGATGGTGAACATTATACCTGGTTCCATCAGCATCTTAGTATTGTCTCTGTGAGCATGAGCATGTTACCATGCTGACACTAGCAATTAGTGCAAACACCATTGTGCCCAAATATAATTCCACAGAACCCTTGGCATAACTGTAGATTCTTCTTCACCTGTTTTCTGTTTACAGTCATCCTCAGTGTCTACTGACATCATGTGGGCTAATGTTTAGGCAAATGTAGGGAATAAGTGAGTCAAATCTTAGCCCCACATGGGATACTGCTTATCCTTTGAGGGTTGTGGGGGGGCTGGAGCCAATCCCAGCTGACAATGGGCGAGAGTCAGGTTACACCCAGCACAGGTTGCCTCTCTCTCACAGGACTGAAAAGACTGTCCTCCTGTAAAAAACGAGCCCATAGGTCATCTGTGCAGCAGGTTATTATATCCCATAGTTATGTTTTGTTGCTAGGCGGCATCTAGTGGTCGTAGTAATTACTACAAGAGCAAAGGGAAAAGTGCGGGGACGTAATATAAAGAGAGACAAAGTCCATGTCAGGTTGTGGTGGATAGATGAATATGACACAGGAGAGCAGTGTTCGATTCTCATGTGGAAGTAGCAGTTTATGGTGTTTCTATTAACCATGACCATTCAACGTTGTTGTTATTGTAACCGTGACAACAAAGATCATCTAATGTTGAGGAAGTACTTATTTTAACCTAAATCATGATATTAAACCTAACCAAGTAGTCAAGTAGTTCTAATGCCTAAGCCTAACAAGTAGTTCTAATGCCTAAACCTAACCAAGTAGCTCTAATGCCTAAACCTAACCAAGTAGTTCTAGAACCTAAACCTAACCAGGTAGTTCTAGTGCCTAAACCTAACCAAGTGGTTCTAGTGCCTAACCCTAACCAGGTAGTTCTAGTGCCTAAACCTAACAAGTAGTTCTAGAGCTAAACCTAATCAGATAGTTTTAATGCCTAAACCTAACCAAGTAGTTCTAGTGCCTAAACCTAACCAAGTAGTTCTAGAGCCTAAACCTAATCAGGTAGTTCTAATGCCTAAACCTAACCAAGTGCTTCTAGTGCAAAAACCTAACCAGGTAGTTCTAATGCCTAAACCTAACAAGTAGTTTTAGAGCCTAAACCTAACCAAGCCATGACCATTATTATAGTAACCACGGTGACGAAGGTAGGTACGCCACTCTCTAACACTTGCGTGTTTATTATTGTAACCATGACAACCAAGGTCCAGTACACCTGCAGCCATAGGTGCGCTATTTCAGGAGACACTCTTAGGGGTTGTATCAGAGGGTTAAAAAAAATGGCAGATTGTTGTTCAGGTTGGAGGACTGGTTGAACCTGCATGTCTTTGAACTATTGGAGGAAACTGGACCACACGGTTGAAACCCACGCAGGCAAGGGGATAACATGAAAACTCAGAGAGGCCCCCACTGGCCCAGCAGGTTCAAACCCAGGAACACTGCTGCTGTGAGGCGACAATGCTAACCACTGTACCATCGAATGTCAAAATCAGACCATGATGTGGGGATGGGTCACAGTGTATTCGTTGTGAGTTTGGTTGGTTCATGCCCTGCCTGCCCTGAGCAGAGTTACATTCATATACTACTGAAACATGATTGCTGGCTGGATTATGTTCAGAGGCAACTTTTTTGTTGAATGAATGATTGAAACATATGGATGTGTATTTTAACGCCAACCCTTGGGTGATCCTAAGGGTCACACAACACTCCACCAGTGACCCAAATCAGACTCACAAGACACCTCTAAAATAACAAAGGGTTTATTTAACATGAATATGAAAAACAACCAGGACACTAAATTAAGACACAAAACAAAACCCCAGGCTGACAGGCAGCAAGACCAGCTGTCCCCATGCTGGAAGCCTCTGTCCTGTCTGATGCTGGCACCACAGCTTTTAAACCCTTCCTTCCCAGGCCAGGGGCATCTCATGGAGTAATGAGAAACAGCCTGGGCAGAGCTACAGGGTGGATAGGACAGGAAAAGGAACACATGCCACTGTAACAGTATTGATGACAAAAGCACTGAGGGAAATGAGACTTGTATATGTTCACAAACTACAAAGGAATATGTGTTTTAGTGGTGGTATCTTACAAGGCTGTGTCCTCATCATAGTGACCTGGGCTTGACTCCAGTCTGGGTCATTTCCTGTCATCCTCTACTGTCTCTAAAAAGCAGATATGCTGAAAGAAATGTGTTTACATGATCAAGTTTACTTTTCTTCTCATTTTTTAACCATAAACTCACAGCATTCCTTTGTTATATGCGCACACCAAACCCTGCCATACTACTCAGCAGGTGGCTGCAATGCATTATGGTCTATGTAAAGCCACTGGACGCCTATGTTTCACATCGTTGCTCAACCATGATCTCTACCTTTTGTTCTCAGCAGCAGTGTGTCGACTCTCTTGGATCACTGTCCCTTGGTCCGCACAGCAGACGCCCTGCCGTGAGTGCCTCCTGTCTGGCTTGCCGCACCCCACCTCCATGGTCATCTGTCTCTGTGACTCCCCCAACATTTTCTCCAGAGGACCTTGGCCACTAGTAAACCATCCCACGAGGAGTCCCTGGCTCACACTTACATGCTTTGGAGAAGTGACACTGTGACACTTGAACCTACTGACAGGGCCAGAACCCCAGCACCTATTTATCCATATATTCATTCATTCAGTCTTTTGAATCATCAAAACCACATTAATCAAGTCTGCCTCTCTCTCTCTCTCTCTCTCTCTCTGTGTGTGTGTGTGTGTGTGTGTGTGTGCGCATGTGTAAACATTTGGTTTGGAGTCCCAAAATGTGTATTTCTGTGTGTTGCATCCAGTATGGCACCATACAACTATGTGTATTTCATGAAGTATGTGCCAGTGTATATGTTTTAGCTTTCAGTGCTTTGAGATTACAGCATTTTAAAACATTACACTCTATTAATTTGTCCACACATTCATACGTAGTTTGTACGTCAATCCCATCCGCATAGACATGATATCTCAGTAATGATAGAAAGAACTTCTTCAAATTTGGCACAAACATTCACTATAAACTCAAAAATGAACTGAGTAGATTTTGGTGGTCAAAGGTCAAAGGTCAAGGTCAGTTTGACCTCACAAAACACTTTTTGGCCATTACTCAAGACTTCACAGCAACTATGACAAAATTTCACACTAATGGTTCATATTTTCTATGACTCTGGATAAACAGGGATGTAACCTGAAACTAGTCTGAGAGGAGGAGGCAGAGGACCACGAGGAGGTGATTCTAGTTTTACATGTTTTATTCCAATACATAAAACCTGCCTCTTCACCACTAAAAGAGAGAAGCACAAATTGAAGCAACGCATTCCAAAACCTGCTGTGTGTGATGTTAGCATCAAAAAGCTGCCGACAGTGTATCAGTCATCTACATGTCCGCTTTGTTTAGTTGACAGAGCTCAGCTTCAGATTGAATGAAAACAGTCAGGCTTGTCAATCCACAGATGCTGATTGACGCACGGACGCTGAAGCCAACAGGACTCAACTGGACATGAGATGGAGTCTGGGGAAAAAAATAATGTGGATCATTTGGAAAGGACTAGCAGTCACCTCAGTGAACTTTACTTCAGGTCCTGAACTCCTCAGGCTCCAATCAGGGTTATTAAGCTGTGATCAGACTAATAACGAGTGGATTTTTCCACAGGACAGATGTGAGGAGGGGGTTTACTCAACTCATGACTTTACCAAACACTGCAGCACTGCATTAGTCCCACTTTGTCTCTGAGAATGCAGATGGAGGCTTGAATTTCTATGATCTCATAATACTGTGCTGAACTGTCAGGATGTCACTGCTCTGTACTTCATAAAAAGTGACTGTGAAGAAGAGATGCTTCAACATTAAT